AGCTGCCGACTCGTCTACCACACGCCGAGTCTGTGGCGGCCCACTGCGCCACCGAAAGTGCCAGTCCTCCGTCGCCTCCCATCTCTCCACCGGGGGTTGTGGCGGTAGGCAAGGGCCGTATGAAGATGGGCACCCCAGGAGAGGAGTGCTGTGACGAAGAGTTGGGAGTCACCACGGAGCAGTTGTCTTCGACTGGAAAAACAAAACAAAATGACAACAACAACAATGAAGGGGTCTCGATGATTAGGAGAAGGCAAATATGCAGGCTGAGAAGTAGAACCTTAGATTCGCCTCGATCGTTCAAGGCGAAGGAGGGACGGATAAGCGAATTTTCTATTAATTTCAATCGAGTATTACACACACACTCTTCCGAATCCTCTTGGTTCAACCTTTACTCGTTGATTAGGTTGTAAAATGAAGTCGAGTGTCCCATCGTTTTAAGGCTGCCCTCTCCAGACCACTCAAATACCCCCTGTCCCAAAGGCGTCAGGTATAGTAGCAAGTAAAAAATAAAATAATGTAAAAATATAAAATATAGACAATAGTACAATTCAGTGGAAATATAAGATCTACTTATAGCATGATGGGAAAAAGTTTCACTACCTTAATTAAAATAAGGTGAAAAATGTCATATATAAGCGATCTACTGGTAATCTGGAAAACCTATTTATAAACAAAACATAAGTAACGTGCTCGATCGCCATGGCAAATACCACTTTGCCTCATCGACAATCCCAGTACAGAATGTGATATGGGAAAATGCCTAGCCTTCCTAAAAATTAACATCTGCCCTGTGATCCAAGGACACTCGGGACAATGCAGCGTAATGGTTAACGTGTCAAGATTATACGCTGCACTGTCATGGTCCGAGTCCCGCGGTGGGTCTTGATGATACCAGTTCAGGCGAGATTAAAACCCCAGTCCGCGCTAAACGAGAATATCTTTTGGGAAAGCAAATTAATGTGAACTTAAATGGAAATGTAAGGTCTACTCAGAGCATGATTGGAAGAAAGAAAACTCAACTACCAGCCCCTGCATCAGCTTAAAACAAATGGAGTGAATAATACACTTCATATATAAGTAATATAACAGTCTCTTATTATATTCGTATTAGAGTAGGGTTTCGAGACTACCAGTAAATCAGTGTAATGAGATGTATTCACCCTAT